AAATTATTTGATCAACTTGACATGTCAGAGTATTTATGAAGGACCAGAAATGTCAAAGATTGCCGCGCCGAATTTATTCAAATTCTGGAGGCTACAAAATTCAAGAAACGGCAACGGGCAAATTATTCAAATCATCTGACAAAAGGAGAAATGACATCTACCTAATATTTCAAATCAAGTTGACAATATTAGTTGATCAACTACAATTCAAAATGAACGATCAAGATCGAAAGTTGATCAACGGGCAAATAGCTTTTACTAGCTATAAATTGTCCAAGCAGACTTGAAGACAAGAAGCACCAGTGAAAAAAAAGAGAAGAGAGCAGTTAAGCAAGAAAAACCCCAAAGAGATTGAACAGTTCAACAACTTGAACAACGGCTAAAACATACAAGCAAAAGATACAAGCTATATTTTTTTATTAGCCGAAAAAGTGGGAAACAGAGCTTCATAGAATAAAATTCAAGTCTGAGTGAGAGAGAAATTTTATTTCTTTGTAATATTCTCTACTGAGTGTAGAAAGAGGGCGGAGTAACTAGAGAGAGTGAAAAACCCTGGTGGAGTGTAGCTTTGTGCGTAGCACTCGTGGTGAAGGGCAGAGTAACAAGAGGAGCTTGTGAAAACCCTTGGAGGACGTAGCTTTGTGCGTAGTTCTCGTGGTGTAGGAGTACAGCTTGGTGCGAAGTACTCGGGAAGGCGGAGTAACAAGAGGAGCTTGCGAAAAACCTTGAAGGAGTGTAGCTTTGTGCGAAGCACTCGGAGAAGTGTCGGTGGACACTTATTCACTATTGTATCTGGGTGATCGAAGAATAGTGAATTTCCTCCTTGAAGTGAAAGGAGAAGAGTGGACTAGGAGGATTACACCACCTCTGAACCACTATAAATCTCTCTCTGTGTTTACTTACTGCTCATACATTTCATGCATGCTTATTCTAACTGCGAACTAACCCAATTACGATTTATCGCATATCTTTATCTGTCTGGGTTTGATAGTTCCCTCGTATGCATGCAAGCCAAACTTTACGTACATCATCCTTGAACCATATCAAGTGTTTCTAACGTGTTGCATGTTTAGAATATCTCCTTGAGCACCGCACTTATAAGCATAACACTTTACCGCTATCTATTCCGCTGCACACTCTAAGTTGCTTATCTTGTTAATGCTTGTTACTTAGAGTTGAAATTACCAAAGTGTTATTTGCCTTGTGTGTTTTCGAAGAAAGTTGAAAAAGTTAGAGAAGTCTATTCACCCCCCTCTAGACTTCTCGCCACCCTTTCGGGACCAACAGAAAAGAACTTGTCTATGAAAAACAATAATAAAGATAGTAAAATTGAATAGAAGCATGAATGGGCCTAACATCGATTAAATTGAAAAGCCTTTAAAAGAATTCATTGGACAAATCGTACTAGTTATGCTGTGCATCCGTTGCACCATGCATGGTGCATACGGATGCAAAAACGACATCGTTTTATTAAAAGCGCGCGTTTCCCTTTTAAAAAAAATTCAGGTTCGATTCCCAGTAACAATATTATGTTGTTCATTCATTCTGGAATTTTAGTTCATAGATTATGGAATTGTAGTTCATCGATTCTGAAATTTTAGTTCATAGATTTTGGAATTTTAGTTCATTCATTCTGGAATTTTTAGTTCATAGATTAGATTCTGGAATTATAGTTCATCGATTCTGGAATTATAGTTCATCGATTCTGGAATTATAGTTCATATGTTGTTGCTGGGAATTGAACCTGATTTTTTTTAGGGGATACGCGCGTTTTTAATAAAACGACGTCGTTTTTGCATCCATATGCACCATGCATGGTGGATACAAATGCACAGCATAATTTGCCGGATAAATCGTGGCATGCACCGGCCCATAATATCACTTGGAATTTCACATCATCTACTTGGCAAATTATGTTGTAGACTTGGGTCCACTTTGTAAGGTGGACCCAAGTCCAAAACGCGCGTCTAGAATAATGATGCCGTCAGTGGTACCGTTTCTTTCGCCAATGATATTTTTTTGTAAATATAAAGTTTAAAAATTGTGAATATAGAGTTTAAAAATTGTAATAAAAACTTAAAGAGTTTAAAAATTGTGAATATAGATTCAAAAATTGTGATATACTGTTGAATATAGAATTCTGTAATTGTGAATATAGAGTTATAAAATTGTTAATGTAGAGTTATGAAATTGTGAATATAGAGTTCTGTAATCGTGAATATAGAGTTCAAAAATTGTGAATGTAGAGTTTGCAATTGTGAATATTGAGTTCTGTAATTTTATATATTGAGTTCTAAAATTGTGAATATAGAGTTTTGTAATTTTGTATATTGAATTCTAAAATTGTGAATATAGAGTTCAAAATTTATGAATATAGAGGAATGGATTCTGAAGACAAACGGCAAGGAAGGAAATAATTTTTTTTTTAAAAAAAAAAATTCAGACAGCGTTGTTTTGAAGCAAAACGACACCGTTATGGACGCAGGTCCACCTTGCAAGGTGGACCTGGGTCCATGGCATAACACTTGCATCTACCTCCAAAAGTTATTATGTGGACAGCGGTTCAAAAATGACGTCATTTAGCGCATTTTTTTTTTGCACGTGACCCGCTGCAATATACATTTTTATAACTTATAATGTAATTTTTTTTTTGAACCAAACGGGCCATAAATATTATTGTTCAAAATAATAGAATCAATCTTAATACACTTGAAAAAAAAAACAGATTTGTATATTACAGAATACTTGAAACCTATTGTAAAATGTTATACATATAAAAGATGAAAAAGCTACACAATACATGACCCCTTCTAAGTCATCGCTTTATTCTTCAATCCAGCACTCTGCCTCAACATCAACCCAATAAAATTGGGAATGATGATCACCAATGCCTGACTGGAATACTTTCTGCAATATGTAAAAATTCAAGAAAAACAATAATGGAAAACAGTTAATAAATAAATATAAAAGGAAAGTAAAACATGAATATAGCATTTTATATTGCAACATTAAAAAAAAAACATAAATTTCATAATCACAAAAAAAAAAAAAAAAAAAAAACTTGTAATCCTTAGTTCACCTATAGAAACTAAAGTTAATAGAATGGAATGTTCCAAATTGAAAAGCCAAGCTCCAAATTGCTGTTCCTCAGTCTTTTGTTTTAGTCTTAATTTATAATGTACATTTTTTTTTTTTGGTAGGGATTTTATAATGTACATTATTTTAACATATAATGTACTCCAAAAGTTTCATTATTTTAACTCATAATGTACATTATTCTAACACATAAAGTATATATTATTCTAACACATAATGTACATTATCTTACCGAGAAGTTTCATTATTCAAACACACAATGTACATTAGTCTAATTTATAATGTAAATTATTGAATAACCGTGATTTATATCATCTCAAATGCTCAGACGGGCCGAGACGTTTGGGATTGGAAATTCAACATCTTGAGAGAAAAAAAAAACACACACACAATGTAGCATAAAATATCAGCGAAATTAGTAGGTAGAACACATCGGCAGTCGTTATATCATAGACCGCGGTGCACATGCACCGCGGTAAAAATCGGCGCCGTTTCTTTAAGTAAAGAAACGGTCCGCCGTTATCGTTAACGGAGTCCGCTTGTTTGGTGTATTAAACACCAACTGACACTACAATATATCTAAACCGACACTGCAGTTATATCAAAATGATACTGTAGTTGTAGTGAAATGAAACTGCAATGTATAAAAAATAAAACTAAATAATATTTCACATATTTGAGTGTATATTGTACAATGAAGCTGTAATTATATCAAAATGATATGATCATGTAGTTGTGTTTTAATGAAACTATAATGTATATAAAATAAAATTAAATAACATTTTCACATATTTGAGTCTATTATATTGTCTTTATTTTTCTCCAATATAAAAATTCTTTACATTCAAAATTCAAATTCATCAATTGATTATATTCACTACATTGTCCCTACAATGTCTTTATTAAAAAAATTATTCATTATCAATATATTAATTAAAAGAAATAATTTCATTAGTTATATTGTCTTTATTTTACTCCAATGTAAAAATTCTTTATATTCAAATTCGTCAATTGATTATATTCACTACATTATATTATCTATTATCTTTTTTGTGCACTATTTTTTAATTAAATATCAAAGTTATAATATAAAATAATGCTATATAATCAATTATCTTGACAATATTTTTTTTTAAACAAATACTAAATTGACAATTATAATCAATCTTGACTATATTATCTTGCATTTGTAAATTTATAAATATCAATTTAAATATGCAAATTCAACATTCGATTATCTATGCATGAATATTTCTAATATAATCTTGACTTGATATACTTTAAAATACATATTTAACAAAAACATTAGGCATTATCCCAATTGCGCAATGCACGTAAAAAACTAGTTTGAGTCTATAAATATCGAATGAAACTGTAATTATATCAAAATGAAACTGTAGTTATATCAAAATGAAACTGTAGTTGTGTTGAACCAAAACTGCAGTGTATACGAAATGAAACTGAATAACAGAGTTACTTTTTGCGGAAACGTGCGAAACGGCGAAAAACGAATGCCGTTTATTTTCATTTAACAAAACAACATCGTTTTGATGCACAATGCATAATCGATTATGTGCACGATATAATTTGCCACACAGCGATGTTGTAGCTTTATTTCAAACTCTACTTGTACGCACGTTGTTAGATCAGAATTGCTGCGCTGAAGGTAGTGGTGCATCTCACGTAGTATATTATTTCCGTGTCACTTAAAATAACAATAATATAATAATATTATATATATATATATATATATATATATATATATATATATATATATATATATGTTGCTGCCGTCTTCATCGTCTCTGTTTGTGTGAGTGTATATAAAGACATAAAGTGATTGTTTTATCAAACCCCCGCACAGAAAGCTTGTTGTGGATCAAGTGAAAATACATACACAAATAATGAAGCAGTTTTGGCGTATGATATTGGTCATCATCAGTTTGCAAGTCCTGGCGATTGAGGGTAGTCACCAAAGGCGGCCGGCAGCGACAGCCCTGTCTTTCGACTACTACATGAAGAGCTGCCCACAACTAGAACAAATTGTGCATAAAAAAATTATGCAATGGATCAAAAGGGATCGCACCCTTGCTCCCGCTCTCATTAGGTTGCACTTCCACGACTGCGCCGTTAGGGTAGGTGGTACATACGCATTTTATAATTTGTTTTGAATGATAAAGAAAATTTGCGGCCACTATTTGAGAGTATGTATGTGCATTAGATAAATCTAGTCTTGTAATCTTAGCTGTCAAAGAACGACTATAAGGTAAACCAACCTATATTGTTCATAAATGACTGGCTCAAATCAAGAGGGTTTAGGGCACCCCCATTAGTACTTTTTTTTTAAAAAAAAAAGGGCATCTCCATTAATAGTTCTTGGAGAAGAGACGGGGAGGAGAGAAAAGAAATGGCGGTTCTTGCAGGGGAGGTTGGATTTTTGTCTCCATAGTACATGGGACCACCAAGCTAGAAAGACAAAAAGGAAATGCACTGCTTGAGGCGCACATCTCGCGCCTAGACGAACGCGTGCACCAAAATTTTTGTTTTGTTTTGTTTTTTTTTTTGTTTTGTTTTTTGTTTTTTTTTGTTTTTTGTTTTTATTTTATCAAATTTTGTTTTTGTTTTTGTTATTTCTTTTTCTCACATCTTCTCTTTCCTAGTCACACTTACAAAAACTAAATGATATTCGATCTTATTAGTTATTTCTACCCAGAGTCAAACTTGTAACATTGTGGCTACCAAATTAACAATATCAAACTAACTTGGCTGGAGTTGCCTTGCATTTTAAAATTTCTTCTTTTAACATAAAAATAGTCATATATCTTGATTTGAATTAATACATGTAGATGCATATATGTAGGGGTGTGATGGTTCAATCCTATTAAACCACGAGGGAAGTGAAAGGAAGGCAAATGCAAGCATGTCACTAAGGGGATTTGAAGCGATAAACGACATCAAGCAAGAGGTGGAGAAAAAGTGCCCTAAGACTGTCTCCTGCGCCGACATTCTCACCGTCGCAGCCAGGGATGCCACTCTCGCCGTCGGAGGCCCCTTTTGGATGGTTCCTTTTGGAAGGAAAGACGGCCGAGTTTCCCTTGCTAAAGAAGCCGATCACACCGTCCCTATTGGCCGGGAAAGTATCTCCCGTTTGATTAACTTCTTCCAATCCAAGGGTTTGAATGTCCTTGACTTGGTTGTCCTCTCAGGTATATATATACTACAAAACTGTTAGTATCAAGCGTTTAATACTACACTAAAAGTTCCATTTTCGAGAAGCAAGGTGCTAGACTTGTCTTGCTCCAGTCTTAATTGCACAGTGTTTGCTCGTGCTGTGACTCAATATTTTCTTATAGACCACAGTCACATTTTCAAGAGGCAGAGTGCTAGACTTGCTGTAGTTTTAACTGCACAGTTTTTGCTTTTGTTGGGACTTGATATTTTTTCATAGACCATTGTTACATTTTCGAGGATTTGGTCGTTCACGGACCACCGCCCAATAATTCCCTAGTCACCAATTGATGGACTTGGCCTCCGCCAAACAAAAACACATTTATTTCTTAACATTGGTTTAGTTGATTAAACTTTATCCTAGAATGTCTTAAAATGTTTCATGTGCCATGTTTAGGAGCGCACACCATCGGAAGGAGTACATGTGAATCTTTTCATTTCAGGCTATCCAATTACAACGGTACTCTCAAACCGGATCCAACCATCAACCGCCATTATCGTAACTTGTTGAGAAGGAAATGCAAAAAGGCATCAGATTACGTGAATCTTGACGGCGTTACACCCATTGCTTTCGACGTCCAATACTACACAAATCTTGAGAAGAAAATGGGAGTTTTGCTAACAGACCAGTTGCTTTACTCTGACCGGAGAACTGAGCCTCTAGTCGCCGTCTTGGCTTCTCAGCCTTCCGTGTTTGAGCCGCAATTTGCTGCCTCTATGGTCAAGCTTGGAAATATTCTGGATCATTTCAATAACGGTGAAGTTCGGCTCAATTGTGAGCGTATCAATACTTATTAAATATGAGGGTATTTTGAATATTTTGGACTAAATTTGAGAGGCTAAAAATGATCCAATTGATAAGTGAAAAAACGAATATAATAGCAAATAGTGCCGCTAAGTGTACTTTCATAAAGTATGTTTGAATTTGTAATTTCAAAGGACGCTTAATGCGTTTTTTATTGATGTGCTTTCAATGTGTGAAATGCAATATTTGTGGGGTGACGATAATGCAACTTAAACACTATACTAGTTTTACATGTGTTGCGTGACTGAATTAATATGTAATATTTATATTTAAATAAGTAATTCAAAGTGTATTAAGATTATAAAGTTGACATTCATTATAGTTAGCATTAAGATTAATGTTTGTACTTTTTTAAAAACAATTATCTAAATATTTATTGTAGTTTGTACTAATACAAAAAGGAGCAAAGAAATATTACTTTAAGCTACCATTCTTTAAACAAGGGTAGACTATTGTTAAAAAAAAGGACAGTAATATAATTGTAAATAAATGAACAAAAAATCGCTAAGCTTCCTCATCGAAAGGGTAGCGGAAAGTTTATTAATTAAAAACTAATCTAAATTTCCGCTACACTTCATTGTAAAAAAAAGTAGCGGATAGTTGTATTAATTGAAAATTAATATAACTATGTGGAAAAAAATCATATCTGAGACCAAAAACAAAACAAACCTGATCGACAGTTAGCTCTTTCCTCACCTCTCCTCTCTCCTTTCCGTCGCCATTGTCACTCCACCATTCTCCTTCTCCGTCTCCATCTTTGTTAGGATCGGTACGGGTTCACAACACCAAATTACAATAGCAACTTGGATTGGAAATACTGAGAATATTTCTAGTCTAAGATTTAGAATAAATCATACACAGAATAAGGCAATTTTGAAGAAGAATTTTCTGTATGGACAAAATGATATTACAATAGGAATTACAAATATAACTCTCTATCTCTCTAAGGATTCTTTTCTATGCTAATGAGATTTCTATCTCTAATGGAATGATTTACAATAAGAGGAGTTGTCTATTTATAGCAAATCCAATGCCTAGAGCTTTGCAAAACATTTAATGCAACAATTGATGCATATCTACTTTTGCAAATCTTCTCTTGCAAGTAATTCTCCTTACTCAAACTTTAGCCCAAGCATTTTCTCCTCAAACCTTAGCTCAAGTTCAAACCTTAGCCCAAGCATTTGCTCCTCCAAACCTTAACTCCTATATTTGACTTTATTCTTTACAAATCTGCTCCCACTTGAAGTCACAATGTGGATTTTCATCCTTTTTGCCAATTCCCTGCTGCTTGCATACTTGTTAGGCCAATTTAAGATCTACACCATACAAATTTATCGTTGGTAATAGGCTTTGTTAACATATCTGGCATGTTATCTTTAGTATGGATTTTCTATATATCCACACTTCCATCTTCCACCTTTTCACGAACAAAGTGATATTGAACTCGTATGTGTTTTGTCTTGGAGTGAAATGTTGGATTCTTTGTCAAGTACAAAGCGCTCTGACTGTCACAAAATTGAGTCATTTTCTCTTGCCCAAGCTCCTCCAATAGCATTTACAACCATATTGCATCTTTACTAGCTTGAGTAGTAGCTATATATTCTGCTTCCGTAGTTGAGGTTTCCACAACCGACTACAATTTCGAGATCCAACTTACTGCTCCGCCATCAAGAGTAAACACATAACCCGTGGTAGATTTACTACAATCAAGATTACTTGCATAGTCTGAATCAACATATATAGCCTTTAATAATGAAGTCTGATCCTCCATAACATAATGCAATGTCTGAGGTACCCTTGATATATCTAAGAACCTTCTTCATAGCACTCCAATGCTGTAACACCCCAGATTTTCAAGACTTTTAAAACTTATATAATAAAGATAGAATCTCATTAAATCCCAAAATACGATACAAAGAGTACAGGGTGCTATGCCACACCCGAGCTAGAGAACTCGTGCACAGGCTAAATTCTAAAACCTCAATCAGTATCAATACTAAATCATGGCACGCAGGCCGAAAGGGAAAACTATCTAAGCTATGCCCCAAGCTTCTAGCGCGCTCCAGTGATCTACTCGTTTGTGCCTGAAAGCCAAATATATCTGTTCAGCGAGAGATGCTGGTAACCCACTACAACGCGTTGAAATAAAATACATATAGATATATATAGATATACGAAAACCATTTTGAACATGAAGATATATCCTACGAACTCTAGCTTTTAAAACAGGGATAGACTCAACAGATAGGGCTAAGCACAGACAGCAGTTATACCAAGCATATACAGTTTACAACAGGCAAGACAGATAAGATAAGCACAATTAATAATCATAACCCAACATATACGATCCCCAGTATAAATCCCATAGTCTCATCCCCAAGATACTCATAACAACAACTCATCCATACTTCATCACATAGCACACTTTGTTGGCGCCACAGGACCAATCGCATGCCCATACATGAGGGTCAGCGCATATAGCTCTGACACGGCCCCGCAGCACCCTGCCCCGTATCGCAACACGGAGGGGTCGATCGCAACCGACCGATGAACCGCAGCTCATCATAGTTTGATCGCAACCAAACAGTGGACCGCAGCCCAAGAGTATGTCATCTGACCGCAGCCAGGAAATATGAACCGCAGCTCATGTAGAAACGTTTGATCGCAACCAAACGGTGGACCGCAACCCAAGAGTGTAAATCTGACCGCAGCCAGCTTCTGAACCGTAGCTAAGGAATAACCAATCCGATCGCAACCGAATTGGGGTAACATGCACACATAACACATAGCAAGCACATGCAACCCACATTAACACATTGGGAAGGGGGAGAAAACGTATAACAAAACCTATGCGTGATCCTTCACACACTAAGAATGATCCTAAGGGGTTCATGCTTCTTTCACCTAGGTCAACGGGATGCCAATTCAACTAGCGTGCAATATATAAGACTCACACAACCTACGAACGATACCCGAAATATCAAACTAGACATAGGCACGATGGACGGAGTCCGTTGGGACACCACTGGGGTCGGGTTAACATCAAACGGGGAAGCCAAAATCCCAAGGTGGGGTACAAACCAGCGGGTAGCCGGTGGGTGAGGGGTCACCCGCTGGCTGCCCGCCGGCGGCACTGTTCCGGGCAGCGGGTGCCCGGCGGGCAGCTGCCCGCTGCCGGCGTTGCCCAAATAGGCCGCGGGTAGGTGGCGGGTCCCCTACCCCCACTGACTCTTTTTGACCAAAAATGCCCCGGGAACCTTTGTGGAACCCGAAACCATGCTTAGACACTTTCAAACGCAATTGATAACACACGTAGACAATTAACGGATCAAAATCAAGAAACATATGGCACATAACCTATCATGCTTTTCTAAACATAATCAACACCCAATCATGCGAATTCCCACCCAATATACCAAGAATAATACCATACGAATTCCACAATATAACCTAGGGTTCTAATTATTTTAAAATCACAAGAACACAATTCATCTTCCAAAATCAAGATTCGGTAGGAATATCATATAACTATCAAGAACCTCATATAATCATTAAGAACACCAAGAACACCATATAATTATCAAGAACGTCATATAATGGTCAAGAACACCATAATTATCAAGAACCTCTCATCATCAAGATCACCCATGGAATCATCCCACCAATCATCAATAATAATATCACAAATCGTCAATACACAATAATATGGGGAAATCCTAAGAGGGGAATCATATCTATGAAAATAGGTTTTGTTGAGACATGGGTTACCTTTTAGCCTTAATTAATTCCTTGGCTATGAAGGGTCTTTCTTGAAGCTTTCTTCTTTCTTGATTTCTCCTAGGGGAATTCTTGGAACTTCTTGTGTGGTGAGGGATTATTGTGGTGGGGGTTCTAGGTGCCTCTTAAGTCCCCTATTTATATATTTAGGAGTCCTAATTAGGAACTCATATTATAGGCTTGCTAATTCTATTCCTTTTAGGGCTAGGGGTTGGGTTTTAGGGGTGAGGGCCTATGGACTATGGTGGGCCTTTCCTAATTAATTATTGTGATTTAATTCTTTCTTTTGGGTAATTGGTTAAATGATTAATTGGTTTTAGGGATTGTAACACGGGGTGTTACACTCTCCCCCCTTAACAGGAAGCTTCGTCCCCGAAGCTTGGTCCTTGTCGAGTGACTTCTTCTTAGTTACCTGGTGTGAAAAGTTCGGAGTAGCATTCCTTCATTGTGTCCTTGAGTTCCCATGTCGCTTCCTCGGTCCCATGGTTGGTCCAGAGGACTTTCACCATTTCTATTGCTCGACATCGGGTGGTTCTTGTTTTGGTGTCCAGGATTCTCACGGGTTTTTCTTTGTATACTAGTGACTCGTCGAGGTCCCCGACCTCGGGTTGAAGCACGTGACTTGGGTCGTGCACGTATTTCTTTAGTTGGGATATGTGGAATACGTTGTGTACTCGTTCTAGTTCAACGGGTAGAACGAGGCGATAGGCTAGGATCCCAACTCTTTCTATGATTTCATAGGGGCCGATAAATCGTGGGCTGAGTTTCCCTTTTCTTCCGAATCTCATCACCCCCCGTGTGGGCGAGATTCTCAACCAGACCTTGTCCCCGGTGTTGAATTCGGCTTGTTTCCTCCTTAGGTCGGCGTAGGACTTCTGGCGGTCCTGGGCAGCCTTCATCCTTTCCTGGATGTGTTTGACCTTGGTTATGGTATCTTGTAGGTATTGGGGCCCTAGTGCTACTGGGTCGACCATGTCTTCCCAACATAAGGGGGTTCTACACTTTTGTCCGTATAAAGCTTCGTAGGGCGCCATACGAATGCTTGCGTGGTAGCTGTTGTTGTATGAGAATTCAATAAGGTCTAGGTGTTCCTCCCATGTCCCTTGAAAGTCTAACATACAGGCTCTTAACATGTCTTCGAGAGTCTGAATGGTTCTCTCGATTTGGCCGTCAGTGGTGGGGTGGAAGGCGGTGCTCAGTTTTAGTTGTGTCCCCA